CGGCATCAGGTCAGCAAAGGTCTGACCATAAAACATAGAAAGGAGGTCTGCAATTTTTTGCCAACCTCAAACACTTTCAGGTTGGTAGTTAGGTTGGCATTGCTGAATGCCAACCCTGATTCCAAAGGTTGCATAAATAAGTACAATCATTGAATACAACATAAATTATTTAAATGAGATTTGATTTAGGTAGAATTTTGTTGGTATGCTTAGTAGGCATTAAATTAAATAAACAAAAAAAAAAAAAATAATAATAATACAGTATAAAATTACATATTTTTAAATATTACCTAATACATATATACTATGTTATATTTTATGTTACATATTCACATAGTATGTATATATGTATTATGTAATGTTTGTAAGTATGTAATTGCATTTTTGTTTTTAAAATTATTATGTAGCAAGGAAATATTAAAATAATTATTTGTTTTTTTGGATATAATTTATATAATAAATAATTTTAAATATTTACAAACATATAATATGAAATTACATACTTACAAACATTACAAACATAATAAACTCTTATAATAAACACTGAAAAGTAAAAACTAATTATACTTCATAACTAATGGTTAAGTAAATAATTATAGTTAATATTAAGACAATTGTTTAATTTTTTTGTGTATAAATTATAATATAGTTTATAATATAGTCTATAAACATACATATAGTCTATATATATATATATATATATATATATATATATATATATATATATATATATATATATATATATATATATATATATATATATATATATATATATTTATATATATACACATGGTGTATATATACACATAGTTTATATATAAACTATATCATAGTTTATAATATAGTCTATATACACAATAAATAATAAATAAATAAGACTATTGTCATAATAATAGCTACATCGGTTACAAATAGGAGCCGTGGCTCTTATTTAGTCAAACGAGTGGCTATTATTAAGACCTATTCGAAATCTGATAGTTTATGTTATATTTATGCTTCTGTCTATCGTATATTGACCAACAAAACAGTTTTCATTATGATAGTAAACTAACACAACCGATCAAAATATAACAAAAACCCATAACTGAAAGAATATTACTTTAAATGCGTCTCAAGGTTGCTTGAAAAAACTAATTATTACTACCGACAGTATAAAAACCAAATATTATTACTGACGGTATAAAATATTTACTTAAATTAAATTTGACAAAAATAAGATTTCTTAAAAAACAAGGTTGAATGAAACATTTATAAAAGTTAGAACAAAACATAGATATATTAAAGAAACGCAAAATTATATTCATCAAGCAGATAAATGTTCTTCCAAATAAGTAAACGCAATAAAGTAGGACTCAAATTTAGCTCTTAACAAGACCTGGCCATTATTAGGGCACTTTGCCCTATTAATGCCCTATTTAAAAAATTAAAAAAAAGATTTTAAATAAGCTCCCAAAAATTTCGTTAAAAAGTTTAACGTTTTTTGTTAAAAAGTTTAATCTTAACTTATAAAGCGTTTCAATAATTTGTGGCAAAAAGGTAAATCTACTGAGAAAAAAAATAATCGTAAAAAAAGAATCAAAATTCTAACAAAATATCAAGTTTTAATTAAACAGAAAAATAAATAATTAAAAAAAGAAAATTAGAAAAAATATATTTTTTTGAAAAAAAAATTTTAAATAGGGTCTTAAAAACTTCATTAAAATAGTTTAGTAAATTAACAATTCACTAGCCCACAAGCTTTTGGAGTATCGTCAATAACAATAGTTCATCAGGAGATAAACTTTCGGGTTTAAATGCACAATTTGGATAATCCAACATAAGTACAGACTATTTCAATGGGAGTATTGATAATGACCAAATATTTTATAATTAATTATTAGTATTAATAACTTTTTATTTTTTTACATAAAAAACTTGTTAAAAAAGAGTGAAATATTTAAGTATATTATTTTTTTTGCAAAATTTTACTTTTTTTACTTTTCAATTTTTTAATTTATTTACATTTTCTATTTCGTATAGTATTGGTTTCTTTTCTTAGAGTCTTGCTATTTTATTCTTTGTAATTTCTTATAGATTTATTTTGCTGTCTGAATAAATTACTTTAAGTGTGGACTAACAATGCGTGTGACTGCACGTGCTTCCCGGAAAGGCTTGGTATTAGAAATTCAAATAAAATATTTTGGGGTATTATTAATTCAAATAAAATTTTTTTTGGGGCAAACACTAACGCTTCTGAGTGAGATTTACTTCTAAAATGTAAAGCTACCAGACAAAAGGTTTAAACCATGAAGAAAAACCATAAAATCAGTCCTTAATGAGGTATAAAGCACTGGATAACCATACTGAAGAAAATTGAGTGGTAAGAAGTCATAGAGGAAAATTATACAAATTATTGTGTAAAATGCAAATCATCCTAAACTTTACCCAGCTGAGCAATATTAGGTGATTATTAAAGCCAAATTAAGTAAGTTTAGGAAAGCAAAATCAAGCATGGATTTTAAGAAGAAGTGAGAGCTATTCCAGAGTATAGATATGACCTTGTGCCAAATCTCATTAGCTTCCATCAGAAGAAAAATCAGAAAACATTATCATACTGATAAAAATTATTTTTATTATTATTATTTTTTGTTCTACATCTCAAGCTTTCAATATAAAAAAATAATTTTTTTTTAGTTCAAAAGTGTCAATTTTATTTAACTCTTGTAATGAAATTAAAAATGTTGTTCAATACTTTTTTTTAAATAGACACAACACTTTTATTTCTACAAATTATACTCTTTGCATCATTTGTTGTTTTTCTATATTTTTTGTCATCTGCATAAATTTAATTTTATTAGCTGTTTTTTTTTTGAAAACCTTGGAAAATCATTTTGCCCTACTAATTTGATTTGTGTCACATAACTCATAATATCCTAAAGAATTTTTAGTGCTTTCTTTATCAAAAGGGAAATATCTTTGAATTTTTCAATTATTTCTTTTTTTTTTTTAAATCACACAAGTAATATTTGGTCATACTTAAAAAACAAGTCTCAAATAATAATCTCCATTTGTAAAAGGTTTTACATGTTTTATTGTTTCTCAAAAATGCAAGCTAATAAAAAAGAAAAGAATGTACCCATCAATTGAATTTTAAGAATGTATGTTGCATTTTTTGTTGTAGTTCTATAATTTTGCCCTTTTACTTGGTAAAGGTAAAGTGTTTTGTTAAAAAGAGTTGTTTTTTTAACAATTTGTCTTTTTACAATTCAACAATCTTTCATTACAGATTAAACATGTTAGTAAATCAGTGGAAGTAAGTGACTGGGACCCCGGCCCTGGCCAAATATATAAAACCAGCCCTCAGAATTAATAAAAACAAAATTGATCTGTGTGAGGTTGGCAGAAAAAATGTAAGACAATCGTTTGACCATAAAATATTTTATCATTAATTATTAGTATTAATAACTTTTTATTTTTTTACATAAAAGACTTGTTAAAAAAGAAATATAAAGAGTGAAATATTTATATATATATATATATATATATATATATATATATATATATATATATATATATATATATATATATATATATATATATATATATATATATATATATATGTATGTATATTTATATATATATATATATATATATATATATATATACATATATATATATATATATATATATATATATATATATATATATATATATATATATATATATATATATATATATATATATATATATATATATATATATATATATATATATATATATATAAATGGGTATAAGCATATATATTTGCTGTTTATTTATTTTCTGGCATGCAATATTCTTACATATTTATACAAACTTTAGTGGGGAAGAGTTACTGAAATTGGAACATCTAAGGATTAAATATTTTTTTAACCGAAAACGGTTTAACTATACAAACATTTTTAACAGACATCCCTTCTATAGTTCTGAGTTGATTGCACTGCAAATAAGTTCAGTTTTGTCAGACCACCGTTTTTTTCCAGTCAAGGTAACTAGTTTCTTTAATTGGAATACTTTGATGCTTTAATTGGAACAGCTTGCTTCTTTTAAAAAAATACTTTGTAAAATCAACAGAAATCAATTTACATAAAATTATTTTCATCCTTACAGTAGTAATTTATACAATTCATTCAAAACTTGTAATAGGATTAAAATTTCCTGGTAAAAATGAAGTTCTACAAATAATAAATTGTACAATAGCTTTAAATCTTATAATGTTCTTTTATTTTGTTAATTAAAAAGTTAAAAGTAAATAAATTATTATTTTTAAAGTTTATGATTGTAACAATTCATTTTTAAATTGTATCTAAACTATTTCTTCAACTCTTTCATTGTATCACTGATTAAGTAAAAAAAACTTAATAGTTTTGATTGAGCAAACTTAGGTCTTTGATCACTGCAGTATCATGTTTGTGGCAATTTAAAAGATAAGTTAAGCACAAAAAAACGTATAACCCACATAAGTATAGTTTACCCTGTGAAAGCAATATATTGTGAACATTAAATTAGATCTCCTAAAAATAAATAACTTCTGAAAAAAGTCTTTTTTCAACTGTAATTTAACAATCTTTGTATGGTAACTCCTAACTTAAATAATGGTTGCTTGCATCTGTGTTTAAAGTAAAATAAGAAAAAAGAAAAAAAAAATTAAAAAAATGTAGCTTTGAGTGATCATTAGCGATTTTTAATGGTATTTAAATGATAATATACTAGTAATACATTATTTAAAACAGTAATATATGAGGTGTTGGTAGCAGATGTTAAAACAGTAATATATGAGGTGTTGGTAGCAGATGTTAAAACAGTTGTATATGAGGTGTTGGTAGCAGATGTTAAAACAGTAATATATGAGGTGTTGGTAGCAGATGTTAAAGTAACAAGTTGTGATGACATTTATGACAATTTCTATTATACTTACCAAGAAATTGTTAATATTTGTTATTGAGTTAGTTGTTAATTTTATTAATTGAATAATTTATTAGGTTTTGCTTATGGGAAAAAGTGGGGCAGGAAAGACAAGTATGAGATCTATAATTTTTGCAAATTACATTGCTCGTGATACAAGAAGATTAGGGGCTACAAGTAAGTTTTATAATTTTCATAAATATTGCATACTTTTTATTTTCTATGAATTAAGAGTTATGTGTTGCAAAATTTTGTTGCAAAATATTACTGAGAGAAAAATAATTTTACCATACTAAATTCATAAGTGACTTTCAAGATAGCTCTTAGTGTGTTTCTTAGGAGTGCCTAGGATACTAATAATAGATTAATACAAAATGTAGTAGAAATACAAATAACACAGGTCTACAAATAAAGAACTTTCTGTTGCATGAGATATTGAAACTTATTTTTATGTATTTTTAAACGCTGAATCCAAATATAAGGTCCGTTTTAGTTGGTAAGCTCTCGTTTTATTGCAATTCTCAATTTATCATTTTTTTTTAAATTATGTTTTTTCATAGCTATTTTTATTCAATAGTTATAAAAAAAAATAACCATCTCATTGTTTTTATTAGATCAAATATATATTATGATGGCTTCTTCAAATCGACATAAGTGCAAGCATAATCCTAACTCATTTATATATATGGCTGCTATGCACTTGTTCGACAAAGGCGAAACATTACTAATTTTGTGAAATTAGCATATGAATCGTAATTCGATATTAAACTTGGTGACCAAGACAAAAAGTGGGCTCCACATACTGTATGCCATATTTGTAAAGAAAGTCTTTGAGATTGGACAAAAGGTAAAACAAATAATTTACCTTTTGGAGTCCCTATGGTTTGGAGGGAACCACTAAATCATATTGATGACTGCTATTTTTGTCTTGTTGATACTAGTGGTGTTGGCAAAATTAAGAGATAAAAAATAACTTATTCCAACATTCCTTCTGCTATTAGACCAATTCAACATTCTAACGAGATTCCATTTCTAATTTTCAAAGGTTTATTTTTGTCAGAAGATAAGCAAAGCGTGTCTTCTACAGAAACAGAAGAATTTTTACCAGATTTGGAAGACTTCTCATCTAATGCTAAACAATTCAGTTTGCCTCAGTGTTTTAGTCAGATAGAACTGAATGACTTAGTTCATGATTTAGGACTTTCTAAACAAGCAGCAGAAGTATTAGCGTCACATTTAAAAGAATAAAATCTACTTGATAACTTTGCAATCTTATTTTAGAACAAGAGATGAAACTTTTGTTGACTTTTTTTCAGAAGTCAATTTATTTGTTTACTGTCATGATATTTCAGGTCTCCTACTACAGTTGGGTATTTCTGTATATAATCCAGCAGAATGGAGACTTTTTATTGATAGCTCAAAGTGAAACCTTAAATGCGTTATATTGCACAATGGAAATATTTTTGGTTCAGTACCAATTGGTCATTCTGTTTATTTGTGAGAAACTTACGATGACATTAAAATGGTGCTTAACTTGATTAAATATCATGAACACAACTCGGTTATTTGTGTAGATCTAAAAATGGTTAACTTTCTACTTGGTCAGCAGAAAGATCTTACAAAATTTCCATGTTGTATCTGTATGTGGGACAGTGGAGCGAGAAATCAACACTGGATACAAAAAGGCCCATTCGCAAGACTCTTACAGTGGGCATGCAAAATATTGTGAATGAACCGATTTTTATTCGAAACAAAATAGTTTTTCCACCACTCCATATTAAACTTGGATTCATGAAACAATTTGTTAAAGCACTAAAAACTGATAGTGATTGTTTTCAGTATATAGTTAAATCATTACCAGGTTTGTCAATAGAGAAAAAAAAGCAGGAGTTTTTATTGGGCCACAAATTCGCTGTCTTATAAAAGATAAAGAATTCATTAAAACAATGAATATCAAAGAGAAAATGGCATGGTTATCGTTTGTGATTATTATAAAAAATTTTCTGGGAAATAAAAAAGCAGAAAACTATGCAGATTTAGTTGATAAAATATTGAAAGCCTTTTGTGATCTTGGATGCAAAATGAGTAAAGCTTTATTATATAAATAGTCACCTTGACCAGTTTCCTGAAAATCTTGGAGATGTAAGTTAAGAGCAAGGAGAGCGATTCCATCAAGATCTTAAGACAATTGAAGATCGTTACCAAGGACGTTGGGACATACACATGATGGCAGAATACTGCTGGGGCATCAAGCGAGAAGACACGGGAAAAGTTTATAAACGAAAGAGCAACAAGCAAAAGTTTCTTCCTGATTAAGTAGTTGTAAATAAGCAATATAATCTGCAATCTTTTTAAAAACTAAAGTAAAAAAGATTTTGATCTTTCACTAAAGTAAAAGATTTTGTTATTAATTAATAAAAAGTTAATAACTTTGATAGGACTTGGATATTTGAAAAATATTTATTTTAATCAGTTTACATTTAGTTTCATTTGCTTTCTGTTTTTGTTTTAGTTTTGTAAACAACTTTTATTCTAAAAAGTATATCCTAGCATTTCCAAATGAGTTTCAAATCTGTATTTTAGAACTATTTCTACTGTTTTGCAAAATTAAAAAAAATATAAATTGCAAAAAATCTGTAGCTTTCCATAAAAAATGAATGCCAGATTTGAATTCAGCGTATCAAAATTATGTAAGAACAAGTGTCAAATTTAATGCAATAAATTTTTTGTAGACCTGTGTAATAGATTAATAATAATAAATACAAAGCCAACTTTAAATCTCACTTTGGAGATTTAAAGTTTAAATCTATTAAAATGTTATAAAGGTTAAAATATTAAGATCTTCTCTTAAAAATTGTCATTTCCATTTTTTAACTTTATTATCATTTAAAGTTGAGGAGACAAGAGAAAAGATTTTTTGTTTTAATGTTGTTTGAAACTTTCTTAAATCTTACTTGATCCTGAAACAGGAACCTTGTTAAACAAGACTGCTATGCAGAGAAACAGCTTGGTTTAAACCCACCCTACAAAATCATAAGGTTTTGAGTTTGAACCAACTTTTCAATCTTTTTTTAGTAAGTCAAATCAAAGCATGTCACAAATTTATGTATAAATCTTTATCGTGTGTTATATGAACACAAAATTTGTTTTTTATATAAATAAAGTGTGTCCAGATTTTAGTATCACTTTTTTCTTAAGTTTTAAACAAATAATAGTTTTTTTAAATATAGATTTGATTTCGGGAATATGCTTATCATGAAATCTATTCTGTATAAAGAAGTGAAATTATTACTGATGCTGAAATAATTATCAACTTAAAAAAGTCATTTAAATCATTTAGAAATTTTATATTCTCTTAATATCATTTTTTAAAATTTACAACATTAACTTATAAAATATATAAGAAAATATTTCTTATATATTTTATAAGTTAATGTTGTAAAAGATTGTTAAAAGAAAATATTGAAAATAAAAATAAACAAATTGTATCTTATTTAATTTAGTTGATGTTGAACATTCACATGTTCGTTTCCTTGGAAATTTAGTTTTAAACCTATGGGACTGCGGTGGGTAAGTTAACTATGTTTATATTAAGTAGTAAAGCCAAAAAATTTTGTGTATATTATGTTTCTATTATCTAATGTTTATATGATAGAAATTAAACACTTTTCTGTTAGAAAAATAGTAAAAATAAAAAAAAACAGTTTTTATGTTATATAATAGAAAACATAAAATTGAAAAATTTATTTAAAAAGTAAAAGTTAATAATCCTAAAATTAAAATCATTTTTTTTAAAAAGTTTTACTATTGATGAAAAAATGTATTTATTTTAAAGTCAATAATTTTATAATATTTACATTAATAACACCTAAATGCAGCTAAATAATAACACTAACCTAAATGCAGTTTTTTACACTTTTTATGTTTTTAAAGATTTTCTATTAAGTAGTTTACAGCTAATTTAAAAAATTAAATTTCTAATATTATTTTTTATATTTTTTATTTATAAATGTATTTACATTTATCATTCACATCGTATGCATTTAAGTGAACTCATTTTATATATCCATTTACTGCTGCTATTTAAAAAAAAAAAAAAAAAATTGTGCTAAACATTTTTTTTAATTTAAATTTTTAGCACAATTGATGTTTTTTTGTCTAATATTTTAAGCTTTAGATAAACACGAGTAAAACAAAGTTTATGCATTGTAAAGTAAACAATGGACAAGTAAAAAATAATGGCCAAATGAAGTCTATAAAAGGAATTGAAGCAAACTATTGTTTGTGCAGATTGTATGAAATGGGATCTCACAAGAAATGTAGAGGTATACAAGGTGCTCATAATTGTAGGTTTTAAATGTAGAAAATGTACTTTTGGTGGACACAGAAAAGTTGAGAAAGAGATCAAAATAAATAGCGGTAAAATGATAGTGTGTTGATAAGTTACTTCAGGATACAATTGGGTCAGCTGGTTGAGCAGAAGCCAAGTTTACCACTTTACCACAAAACAACCACTTCTTACATCTCAACTTTTGACATTAAGAGGTACATCATTGAAGCATAAAGGAAAGTTATGCAACCCATACGTTCATAGTGTTACAAGTGGCAAATTAACTCAAATTTACTTGATTGCAAAAATTTTTGCAGAAAAAAAAACCAATTTACTGCAAGAAAAATAACAAAGTTTTTTTATAAGAATCTCATAACTATTATGTTTTAAATATTATTTGTATAAAATAGATGTTAATCCAGGTAATACAAATACAGAATTAAAAGATGTTTATCCAGGTAATACCAACACAAGATAAAAATACTTATTGGTATATGGCATTAATGCATCGAAAAAGAGGTTTCACGTATAGGGATCATAAAAATAAAATTTATTCATGATGAAATTTTATTAAAGAAAGTATTTTAGGCTCTAATAAAACTTAACCAATAGTTCTTAACCCTATTCATACTGGGTCGCACATTGAAGGTGTGACATAAATTTAAACCAATATAATTTTTCTCGCGCTTAACTGCTTTTGCTTTTTGATTTTTCATATTATACTATACTACGCCATTTCCAACATTAAATGTCGACGACACCCTCCAATATGAATTTTTGAAAACTTTACTTTGCAGCAATTTTATTGATTATAACTAAATTTTACAACGTCTTGAAATCATTTTTTTATTGCAATATTTATTCCCATTTTTATGTTCAGAAATAATAGAAAAAACTGAATACAATAAAAAATATTGAAAGTATATTGTGAGCCCCATGCTGTAGCAGAAGTGAGATTCTTTTCAAGCTCAAATGCTCCTCCAAGCAGTCAGAGAGTTTTGGATTCTTATCAAGACAAGAATAAATGGTAGTATCATCAGCGAACTATGCCAGTATAGATGTGAGAATGTATGGTAGATTTTTGATGTAAATTAAAAAGAGTATAGGGCCAAAGATTGAACCTTGAGGAACCCTTAAAGTTACAGAATAAGAAGAAATGTGCTGTCTTTCGAGGACAACTTTTATACTACGATTGGAAAGCAAGGGTTCAATAATCTTAAAGATGTTACTAGATACACTGTAAGAAGAAAGCTTATGGAGAAGACCAGCATGCCAAACTTTATCAAATGCTTTAGAAAGATCAAGAGCCATGGCATTAACCTCTCCAACTTTATCTAATTCACGATAAAACCACGATAACGATAAATCAGTTATTACTATTAGCAAATTAGCTGTAGAATGAGAAGATCGAAATTCATATTGATGATCAGAAAGTAAGTTATTAGATTCAAGATGAGAGATTAAGTGTTTGTTAATTAAAGATTTGAAAACCTTGCTCATGATAGGAAGAAGACTAATGGGACAGTAGTTAGACGAATCAGATCGCTTTCCAGAATATTTGAAAATATGGTAAGTAAATCAAAATCAAAATATACCTTATTTTTTTTTTTTTTTTTTTATTTAGTTTTAGCCTATTTTATATTTTGAGACATTTCTAATTTATAGCTTGAATATATTATTATCCAGTGGTAATGTGATGGGATTGAAGCAGCACCAAAGCAAAATTTTAAAAAATACAGATTTTATATTCTTTTTTAGGGTGACCTTCGTGAATTTTTTCAGATATTTTTAAATAATTTTAGCTAATATAACTTAATTTATGTTACTTTAAAAGTATTTAAAATTTTAAGTACAAGCACATTTTAAAAATCTTGAGTTTTTGATAGGAAGTCCCATATCACCAGAATCTGTTGTATATTTCCAAATAAATTTTTTTATTCTTCAAAATTCCTGCTCCTAATAATGTAGCATTTTTATAAAATATAAACCAGTTTCTATGTTAGAGGCCAATTTTTTATAAATTTTTTTTGGGTGCTCCCAGAAGTCCTTACTGTCTTCCTTTATTACCTTTTTTTTAAAGTTTAAAATTTTTGGTGAAAATTTTAGTTTCACTATTTTGAATAAAAATACACTCAAGAACTGCCTACTAACTTGATAGACTAACCTAAATTTTTTAGTTAAAGATTCAATAGAGTTGTTACTTGAAAAACTAGAATCATTTTCTAAAGAATGTGATGAACATTAGGATTTTCATTTCTTTTATATATATTGTGTATGCTTGGTTATAACATAATTAGTGCATAAAATATAAACATGTAAAATAAAACCAAACAATCTCCAAAATTTGATCATTACTGCAGCAGTGCCAGTGGTTAATGCAACATCTGAAAAAATAATTACAAACTCTGATAGTTTCTCTTTAGGTTAATTGTTACTTCAGATTTATAGCTTTCAAGACTTTAACCAGGCTTAAATAAATAAATAACTTATTGAAGTCTTTGATTGCATAGACTAGTCCATTTATCAAGCTTATGACTAAACTTTCACCTTTTTTCTTTATGTGATTTTATTTTAACAATAAGTTCATTTTTCCCATAGCACAATATTTTTCATTGCATTGTTTTTATAAATAAGTTCATTTTTCCCATAGCACAATATTTTTCATTGCATTGTTTTTATAAATAAGTTCATTTTTCCCATAGCACAATATTTTTCATCGCATTGTTTTTACTTTTTGAAGATCATATTGTTTTTCATTTAATGCTTGACAAATGAACTCACTTTTACATATTTCGTGGATTGAAAATCCATAAAGTCTCGCTACTCTCTCTGCTGAAGAATGTTTTTTTTAAAAAAAAAAATGATACAAGAAACTAACTCCCTTTTGCAAGGATTGTCTTACAATTACTTGGAGCAGAAATTTGATCATTATTTAAGTTTCTTTTCCTAATGTAAATATTATGAACATGTTGCAAATATCTTAATAATCTACTGGTTGACAAGGCCCTACAACTTAAATATATATTTGCACATTCAAACATTTGGCTTGTTCATCTTTTTTCTTTTAAAAAAATATTTCCACACAAAATTAGCCATGATAGAACAATGTCTTGACAATTATAAGATTCTAAAACAAAGAAGTTAGTTTTTGGATTAAAGAAAATAGTAAGAAAGTTAAAGAAAGTTTTAAAACTTGTTTAACCACTTGAAATATCTAAATTGAAATTGTCAACATGGAAAGAAGCCCAATGTTATTTAAAATTTTTTGAATGATAAATTTAATTATAAATTTTAAAGAGTAACTAGCGTTTTGTATTTCAAGTAATGACTTGCACTTGCTTTGATTCATGTTTTACAAGCCGCTAGAGAGTTTTAAGCGTTTTGTATTTGAAATAATGACTTTATATATTTGCTTTGAATCACATTTAATAGAAAAGTTATGATTTGATTTTTATATATTTTTTTGATATTATAGGCGACATTTAATTTCAAATCATACACATTAAATAGCTTTGTAAACACATTAAATAGCTTTGTAGACACATTAAATAGCTTTGTAGACACATTAAATAGCTTTGTAGACACATTAAATAGCTTTGTAGACACATTAAATAGCTTTGTAGACACATTAAATAGCTTTGTAGACACATTAAATAGCTTTGTAGACACATTAAATAGCTTTGTAGACACATTAAATAGCTTTGTAGACACATTAAACACATTAAATAGCTTTGTAGACAATTTTTTTTGTTTTGAATAGTTATCCTATTATAATAAAATACGCAAGTAATTTTTTGATTTAAATTTTTCCTAAGAAATTATGATAATTTTCCTGGTTGAAATAAATGTGAAACACAGAAAATTCCCACAAATTCCCGTCTACTGCCAGTATAATACATTCATTATAACCTAAACTATTTTTAAACTTTTTCTAATGTTGAGTTTGGTATATAACAATATATCAATATGAAGTAAGTTTTTATTATATCAAGAATCAACTAATTTTTTATATTTAAATAAGCTTGTTATCTGTGCAATTAACTGATATTAGTACTTTCCCATTGAATTTAATTTCCAATTAAATTGAATTTCTTTTTCATCAATCTCTCTTAATGCTTCATTCAATAAACTGTTAAAACATTTAGACAATTATTATCTGTGATTATTTAGTCTAATTGCATTCTGTTATAGAGAATATTCCAGAGAATGTTTGTATGCATAAAAGTATCAACTCATTTTTACTTTAATATTAAAATATAAAAGTTTATTTAGAATTTAGTTATAAAGTTATTTTCAATTTTAAAATACTGAAATAAATTATAAAATTCTAAAAGAAAAAAAAATTATATTAATACAATTTTAAAAATTTAATAAATTGTAGTTTAAAATAGTTAATAGTATATAATTATATTTTAAATATTTTAGAAATATTTTTTTGTACTGTTATTCATAATTTTTTTCTAATTACATTACAACTAAAAAAGTGTTGATATTAATAATAAAAATTATTTTTATAGTCAAGAAGCATTCATGGAGAACTACTTTGCAAGTCAACGTGATAATATTTTTAAAAATGTAGCAGTTCTTATATATGTATTTGATGTAGAAAGCAGAGAGGTGGAGAAAGATATACATTATTATCAGTCATGTTTAGAAGCAATATGGGAGCATTCACGTGAAGCAAAAATATTTTGTTTAATTCATAAAATGGATTTAGTGCAAGAAGATCAAAGAAACGCCGTAAGTCTGTTTTGTCAAACGCCATAAGTTTGTTTAATCAAATAAATTATTATCTAATTTGTTTAGTGTAGTGTTATTTTCAATATAAAAAGCAAATTTATAAATTTGTACAATTTGATTTTATTTATAAAGCCTATAAGGAATCAGCATTTCTGTACGAAAACCAAAAATTTTTTTAATGTCAATGTACACATTACATTAAAAACAAGTTTCAAAAAATGATTCCCAGAAATTAGACATAAGTTATTTTATACTTTAAAAATATTTATATTATAATAAAATTATATTTATATTTTATTAAAAATAGTTATATTATATTAAGATTTTGTGACAGTGTTTTTACAAAATGTTGTTCTTTCTACATATTTATATAATAGAAGTTTTACAAAATGGTTGTTTTTCTTTTTCATAGCAGAAGTATAATGGTAGTTTAAAATGGTAGTGTTAAAAATTACGGTTAAAATTAAATTTTTCATTCACTCTCTTTTCTAATTAATAAAAATATTGAATTAACAAATCATTTAAATACAATCGTGTTTTTTATATTTTAAATATTAACTTTTATTATTTATTATCAAGTAAGTAATTGTAATCCAGTATTAAATTGTTAAATTTAATACTGAATAATTTATAAGTTGTTTTAGTTTGTCAAAGTTTTTATTTGTACTTATAATATTTATGTGTAATGCAGTGAGATTATTTTTTAAAGTTTCAAGTTCAGTTTAAAAAATTTCTGTTTCAAAATATTACAAATCAAAATTATTTCCATGAAAAATTTGTGCATTATAAATATACCTAATTTTCTTTCACTGAATAGTGTAAACCTTGATTTATCAGAGAAAATATATATGGGTAATAAAATTTTATTTTCTTGTATATTATAGCTCTGACTTAGTTCATCAAGCATTTTCTTGATATGCACAAAACAGCATCACTACATATTAAGGTTTGTTAGTTATACTGCAATGTTTTGTACCAAATCATAAATATCATAATCAGCTTGTAAAGGATCTCATTTCTGCTACAGCATGGGGCTCACAATGGTTGGTGAAATTTATTTCAGATAAAACCCAATTTTTTTCAGTCAATCGTTATCGCAATAGTTTAGATCTTCCTATATTTATAAATGGTAATGTACTCAATGAGTCATCTACCCTTCATCTTCTAGGATTAACTCTTACTTCCAATCTTTCTTTGAAACCATATATCAAATCCATTGCAAAATTAGCATCTGCTAAGGTTGCATCTCTTTATTGTGCTCGACACTTTTTTATTCTAGATTATATTCTTTATTTCTATAAATAACAAACCTTCTCTTTTCCACAAATACTATAATGGGCACTGCTCTAAAGAGCCAGTGTCTCTTGTGCCATCTACTAAAATTCATTCTCGTTTACTCATCATTCAATTAAGTCTTATTCTTTTACTGTGAATGTTCCTAAGTTTCTAAAAACTCTTCTTCCTCTAGTTTTTTTCCTTGAACATCAGTTCTTTGGAATTCATTTCCTTTTCTTGCTTTCCTGATTCATATAATTTGCAATCTTTTAAGTCGTCTGTCAATCATTATCTTGCTCTATAAACTTTATCTTTTCTTGTTCAGTAACTTCCAACTCTAATAGTGGTTGCTTGCAGCCTTGTTGGAAGCAAGGATGTTGAAAAAAAAATCAGCAGCAGTTGTTTTTCTGATACTTATTTAAGCATCTTAACCTTTTCTAGAAATATAGTAAAAAAGAATGTTGCATTTAACCAAATTTTTAAACTTTTTAAATTTAAAAAGTTTAAAAATCTTGTTGAATTAGCTTCAAACAAGAGAGCAAGTTATTTATAATGAGTATATTATTATTATTACAAAAGACTTGTAATTAAAACTTAAATGAATGAGTTTTAAACTTTTAAAATTGTTTTTGTGTTGCATAATTCAAATTTAAATGCACAAACTGTTTATAAAAAAAGATTTCATTTATATTATTAAATATGCATGTAATTATTTTTGTTTTGATTAAATCATATTTAACATACTAAGTTAAAAATGCAACTACAAAAGCATTGCATTTTTAGTTCTTTAGTATTTAGAATAAATAGTTTGCTAAGGTTAAATTTTGTTTTTATAAAGTTTTAAATTGAAAATATAAAACTAAAAGTTTAAATAGCTTTTTAAAAATTATTAAAGTTTTTTAGTTCTTTATCTTATAGTTCATTCCCAGGAGACGTGTTTAGTTTTTTATCTTCTTTGTCCATGAAAAAGTTTTTATTTTTACACAACTTGGTCATGGTCATTTGCAAGTTTTATTATATTAAGCGTTTTAACTTCAAAAAAAAAAAAAAAAAGATAGCAAAACTAACAAAATAAGAAATTAAAATAAATTAAAATAGAAAAAAATAAAAATAATAAATAGTCCAAATAAATTGTGTACTGTTTTTATTTTCATTTTTTTAGTATTTAAATTTAGTATTTAAAAATTTTTTTTTTGTAATACTTGTTACATTAACATTTATCATTCGCAACTAGGCTCGAAAACAAGTTACTTGAGCAAAACACATACAGTTGCAGGAACTTCAGGGAAGAAGGAGAAAAGATTATATTAGATTTTGTTAGATTAGAGAACATATGTCCAGTAAAAAAGCACAAAATTCAATCAAAGATTTATTATTAATAATTGTTAAAGTATAATTCACCAATAACATAGTAGACCAAAAGGGAGGAGGCGGAAAGATTTAAACTCACTGAGCCAAATGTTAAAAAGCAACATGTATCCAAAATTACAAAGTCTCAAAAAATTGGGAATTAAAAACGTACAGGAATAGAAAGTTAATATGAAACAATTAAGGCTATGTGAAAAATGCGTAGATGGCATGGCATAATTGAAAAACTTTTGTGCCCTTAGAAAATACACTGAGAAGTTTAAATGGTTTAAGAAATCTGAATGTGAAGAGATGTGTATTGTTTAAAAACATACTTACAAATAGAGAGATTTTTTATATACAAAAAAAAAAAATGAAAAGAAAAATGGTTATGAAGCAAATATATACGAGCAGTAGGATTTAAAAGAAAAACAATAAAAAATTGAATAGTTGTGGGATTTGAACCAAGACCATTCTGTGTATGAAGTAAAGGCTTTATCCAAATAAGCAAGCTTGGTCAGTAAGTGGGAGTGATCTCTCTCGAATACTGACCACGGAAATAATATTTAGTTGCAAAAAACTGGCCAGGTCTTTTAGTTGTTTTGAGAACATTTAAGTTTATGTTACAAAAAAATTTTGTTTTATGGACATACATGAAAACATACATAAACTTGAATGTTCTCATAACATCTTACAAAACGTTAGTACTATGGCTCATTCTTGGAGCCACATCTGCAAAGCCGTAAATCTTTTGAACTATTATTATTTGTTTACAAAAATAAATGTTTTATTATATGTATTTTTTAAATTGTCAAAATTTTGAAAGTTTATTATAAATTATAGATTTTATTAGTATATTCTTATTTTTTATTTAAAAAATATGAATTTTTTATGTAAATGTAATTTTCTGTACCTGTTTTTTATTCTAATGTAATCTTTTAAAGCAATTTTTATGATTTACTTTATAAACAAAGACTTTCAACAATAATTGTGTTTTCAATGAAGTTATTAATAATCATCAAAGTTAATAAAACTAATTATGAAATAAACATGTAAAGTTTCTGGTTACTAAGCACAAACATGCATACAAAGTAACTCGCGGATAAACAAGCACTGCGCCTGAGGTCATGACAGAACACAAATATATATAGCAAGTTATAAAAGTTTTTAGATATTGGTTTAATAACTCAAATTATATTCATTTCAGTTGCCATTCTTAAAAACTCATTATACTTATTACTGCTTTAAATACTAATTAAAATTAAAAAGCCTACTCACTAAACATCATCAGCGATATTGTGAAGCAGTTTCCTTTCCTTGTCATAAAGTATTGTTAACCTTTTTAGTTAATTTCTATTTAGTTAATTTAGTTTCTACAGTAACTCAATGATTTAATTACTACGCGAAAACTAAAATAGTTATTAAAAAAAATTAACTTTTTTAAAAAATATTATAGCTTAAATGAAACTAAAAGTTGCATTAGTTTTATTAGAATCTTATAGACTTTTCGGGGCCTGGGGCTATTTTTATTTTAAAGGCCTTTTTATGTGCCACAGCATAAAAATGACTAAAAAAAAGTCCCCTAACATTGTGAGGCCCAGGGCTATAGCTTCATCTAACCCCAACCCTCCTTAATCTAGCACTGGAAATAAGACATGAGTAAATAAATAAAATTATATTACACTCTTTGTTTCCTTTTTAAACAATCGTAAGATGTTACTTTAAATAAAAAAACGTTGCTTAACTTAATAAAAAAGTTATAAAAAAGCAATGGTTCAAAAATATTTGTTCTAAACGTAATTTATTTTGCTTTAAGTTTTTTTGTGTTAAAAGTTATTTTATTTTCCTAATTTTTTTTTTTTGTTTTGTTTTGTAATTGTCGCTTATCCGTCTAATTAATCTTTTGCGCTTTTTTTATGCTTTTTAAAATGTTCTCAAAACGACTAAAAAATCTGGCCAGTTTTTTGCAACAAAATATTATTTCCGTGGTCAGTAATCAAGAGCGATCGCTCCCGCTTCCCGACCAAGCCTGAATAAGCTAAACATGCATATACTGGTGAATAAATAAATGTAACTATGTAATTAAAAAAGCAATGTAGAAAGTAAAGTCTATGAGGTAGATATGTATATATGCATGCATGAACAAACCAACATATGAATGAATATAAACATATACACATGCATTACATAGATGTATTCATATAGAGACAATATATACTTGTTACATTAAAATTATAAAAATACATATTTTTGCTTTCCTCTTTTAAAAAAATAAATAAAATGTTAACTTGAAACTTTTTTTTTTTTTTTTTTGCTCAACTTTATTCAGTTTTGTTGCTGAAAATAACCACCACTCTAAAGAAATAAAAATAAAATTATTTAAGTATATAAATTATTTAAATTGTTATTATTTTTTTTTTTAAATAGGAAATAAAATAAGTTTATGTTTATTTTATTTCCTATTTTGTTAGTTTTGCTTACTTTGTATTTGAAATTTAGTTTTTTCTGCAAAGTATTGAAACACTTTATTTAGTAAAACTTGCAAACAGCCATGACCAAGTTGTCTAAATAAAAAACTCATGCGTAATGAAACAAATCAAAAAACCATACGTGCCTAGGAAGGATTTTGTTATTATTCTTTGTTTGTTTTTTATAATTTTTTAAACATAATTTTTAATGAAATTCTTATATTGGTCATTTAAACTTATCTAGTTTATTTAAAAATATTCATGTCAAAGCATTAAAAAAAAAGATTATTTTGCTCAAGTAAACTGACTTACATGGGCTTCTTGTCGATTTTTAAACAAATAAAACTACCAGTAGAAAAATAACATAACCTGTTTTGTACAAAAAAAGTTTATTTAAATATTTTTTAAAGATTTTTTTAAAAATTTGTTTAAGATTTATTTTTAAATAAATCTTAAACAAATTTAAATTTATTTGTTTAAGATTATTATACAAAAATACAAATGAGTATATTATTTCTTTTAAAGATATATAGAGAAAAAAAAGCAGAGCTGGAGGAGTTATCAAAGCCATTAGAATGTACACTATTTCAAACATCTATCTGGGACGAGACTTTATATAAGGTTCTATAGTTTTTTTTTATGTTAGTTGTTTTTTTCTTTGTTTTCTTATAGTGTGCTGAATGATGCTTTTTGTTTTCTATCAGCTGTGTTTATAAAAAAAATGTTTGTAAAATTACTTTAGTCAAAAATGTGAATGACATTATCACTCTACATACACAGTGATCTCTTTTTGATAAATAGATTTGATATATATAAAAAATTGTTAATAATAATTTGATAAATATAAAAATAAATATAAAATTTGATAAATATAAAAAACCATTTTAAACAGTTCTTACTTATAAACAGTATATTTTATCATCAAAAGTTTATAAATGGTTCATTTGTAATCAAAATTTTATAAATGGTTTGATTCTTAATGATTGAGAATTTAAATTATTGATGATTAGAAATAATTGAGATAAAATATTAGAACTAAAATTGAAACATTGCCAGTGTATTTTGTTATATGTAAGTAATTAAAAGTGTAAATACTGCTATGATAGAATGGTTGTGTATACAACTTAAAATTGTCATAAACACAGCTATAATAAAATTGCCATTTACACAACTATGATAAAATTGTTATGTAATATGCTATGATAAAATGCTTCATAAAAAAACTACAATCAAAAAAGAAAGAGATTTAGATTTAAGATTAAATGTATCAAATGATCTAAAGGGTATGCACACACATTGCCAAATTCACAATCAACCTCATCTGAAAGGACCACAAAAATTATTTTATGGAAGCATTATATAGACCTTGTAAGTACATTTAGAGGTGTTTTTAAAATCTTTTTATTTTAACTAAGCCAGATTATTGCTTTTTTAACTGGTGGATTTTGAATTTTTTGTATTAAAATGGTTAATTTTCAAGCATGGTATAAACTCAAAACTTTTATATTTTCATGAATCGAATAAGGATGGTTTACAAAATATTACAACAATCAGAACTTAGGGGGAAAAAATGCCCCAATAATTTTTCCCTCTTAACTCCCAATAAGAAAAATATTTTGGAAAAAAATTTCATCAAAAAACTCTTGGTGTTTAGAAACGGTGACCTTGTAAAATTTTTCTCGCTGTTTAATTTTTTTTACCATTGCTATAAAACATTAGGAAATAATACGTCACTCACAACTTTTTTTAATAATTGTTATGCAATCAACTTTGTGCCAAGACATTTTTTTACATTTTAGTATTCAGTGTTTAAAAACACTAAAATTACAATTTTAAAATAGATTTAATTTTTCTGATGAAAACAGATTTAGAAGTTGCACAAAACAAGCTTCACCATTGCCTCAAGAGGTTTGCGTTTAAAGTAATCCTATTTAACCCTCCTAACAACAACGAAGATTCTCAAATTAATCGCCACCATGTTCATAACATAAATGCAATGGCAGTATGTGGACCCAACACATTTATTATGCTTTGACAAACAGCCCAGGAAGGTGGCCTGATGCACTTGTAAGTTTGCTAAGAAATTATGTTTGCAACTATTAGTGCACTAATAAGAAATTATGTTTGCAACTGTTAGTGCACTAATAAGAAATTATGTTTGCAACTATGGTGCAATTACTAATAAGGCTTATTATAATGTATTTTAGATTTTAATTTCAAATGTTTTTTAGGTTATAAGAAATTCTAATTTTTGAAACAAATTCAAAAATGGAGAAAAACGTTTGTACAAAAACATTTCAACATAGCCCATAGGAAAATCAGTAGTATTGAGCATTGTTTTGACATTGTCTAAAACAGGTTTTATGCTTTGAAAAAAGGAATTTGTGGATTTGTTATCCATAATCTGTGTCCTCGATATGGAGATAACAGTAATGATTTTCTAAAAGAACAAGCTTATAAAAATCTAACTGAAGCAAATCAAAATGATGGAGCAAAATAGACGAAATCAACTTTACTTAAAATAAATAAATAGCTTTTGTTAAAGTTTCAAATATATATTCTCCTTTGTTCTCGAGTTTGAGGTCTATAACTATATTTTAGACATAGATCACAGATTTGCGCCTAAAATATTAGTAAGTTTTAATACTTACGAATATTATGATTGGTAAAGTATATTAAAAGTAAGGAAATATTAATGATAAACAAACAAAAATGAATAATTTCTTATTAAGCGCAAGAAATCTTTATAGAACTTCAGACTATTACAGTTTGTACATGTTTTTATGCATACCAATTTTGTTTTATTAAAGTAAATTACAAATAGGTAACTTACTTTAATAAAACAAAATTAGCTGAGTAGGTGCAAATTTCATAAATGCGAATCTACATAAGTGCAAATCTTTACATGTGCAAAGCAATTGCAATAATTGGCATAGATGCGAGTCTTCAAAATTTTATGGAAAAAAATACAATGACTGATACAGTAAAATATATAGATACATATATATATATATATATATATATATATATATATATATATATATATATATATATATATATATATATACATACATAGATCTATTGTTGAGTTTGGGGAATAGAAGCTGATGCATTCTCTTTATTTTATTCATTTATTATAAAAGAGTTATGCCAATTTGCACTCATGGCAGTTTTTTTAACTACTTCACATTTGTAAAGATTTGCATTTATGCATGTTAGCACTTCTGCCTATTGCTATCAATAATTTTAAATCATAAAGTCATTTTAAATTGTAAAACAAAGTTCTCTTTTAGGGTTCCTTTAAAAGTGGCCCTGTGGTGCCTGTCAGGCCATGAGGATAAATAATAAAGAAATTATTATTAAGATTCAAGTTACTGTTTTATCTTTATGAGAAAATGCAATACAAAGAGTTCACTGGTCACAACACAAAGAGTTCACAGGTTACAATGAAATACTTTAACAAAATGAATGTTATTATAGTTGCAATATTTTTTAAATGAAAAAATGACAAAATTATTATTCAAAAGTTATTTTCAATCATTTTTTTTCTTTCTTCCTTTTAATTTACTGCTTGATGATTGCTTCCTAAAACAAAAACAAAAAAATTATACATTGCTTTTAAACTTCAATATAGAATATTATTTAGAATTAATTTAAAAATGTATCAAAATACCATGTCTGTATTTATAGTGTTGCTGGTTGGGTGGCTATTTATCCTTCATTAGCTGTGTTGCCGTCATGTTATATTTGGTTATATTTCTCGTATTTGCTGTTTTCTGAAAGCAACATCTAATTTCAAAAACTGAAGTTTTTAAAACTTTTGAAATTCTTAAAGTTCTTTTTGTAATTTCTCTTTTCCAAACCCAAAAAAAAGTTTCAATTTTTAAAAATTTCCATCTACCAAGAGACTTTCTTGTTTTCTTTTCAGATTTTTTAATGCTCCAGTTTATTTTTTTTAGGTGAATATGTAAAATTTATTTCCAGGTAAATAAGAATCTAGTGACAAATAAAATTTAGTTTAATTACTGTAAAATACTATTAATTTATTTAACTAAATATTAAAATTTCCTAATCAAAAAATTATATAACCTTGAAGTATCGATTCAGCAAAAACAAGAATGTCTTAGTGAGGGATGCCTGTCAAATCCTGAATCCTGGAGAATTTATTTAATACATTTTATCAACAACAAGTAAAATATCAAAACTTTTATCATCAGAATTTTATATCTTGTTAAACAACTTGACTCAAATAAATAAGATACCAGATATAGGTTAAATAAAAGAAGCTGTAGTTGAAGACTGTTCAGAGACGATTGACCTAACTTCTTTACTTGAAGGTTGACTGGGATTGAATGGAGTTACCTCATCATTAGAACCAAATGAAACTGTTCAGAGACGATTGACCTAACGTCTTTACTTAAAGGTTGACTGGGAGTGAGTGGAGTTACCTCATCATTAGAACCAAATGAAATATTACAATCGGAACCATCAATTCCTGACAAATTTATTGATTTTCTATCTACAATGTCTAAAACAATGTTATCTAATTCTGTTAGTTGTCTTCAGCACCTTAAAACTAATGGCTGATTTAGTAAAAAAAGATTTATAAAAAAAACATGTAAATGTTCTTCTGACCGCAACAAGTAATGCTAATTTTGTTCTGAGAGTAAAAATTGTGCTCATCTGAAGAACTTGTAAGTAAGAAAATAATAAGTTGATTTTATAGAAAATAGTTTTGGTAAAATTTTGAAGTCAAAATATGTTTAATTAAACAGTATAGTTTGCATATTGTTAACATATGTCACACGTAAATTAAAATTAAAAATCTAATTGCAAGAGAGCCAATGATTTATTTTTTCTATTTGAAAGTAAAATTCAGCATGATTTTTTTTTTAATTCCTGTTGAATTTTATCATAATATCCCTTAATCCTACCTTAGATCGAACCATTTGCTAACTCACACAAATTTTTTTAAGTCTATTGTTTTGGGAGGATCGTTTTTGTAATTGAGCTTGGCTGTTATTAAGGTAATTGGCAAGAATGACAAAACAAGTAGTTCATAACAAAAAAAAAAATATCACATTCAGTAGCTCGAGACACAGGTGTTAAATGTCAGCTGATTATGAAGATAATATATTTTTTTCAGTTTTCAGTTAAAATAGAAATATTTACAAGGAACCTAAATATTTATAGGTAAACATCTGTAGAAAAGGAAAGTTTTTTTTGAGAAAGATTTTGAACTTATCTTGATTTTTTGAGTACTTTAGATAAGATGTTTTAAAATAGTTTAGTTTTGACCAAATTAAATTTGGATTTTAAAAGACAAAGGTTATGGTTGAGTCTTATTTAATGTTCATTATAATAAATTTTTGCAGTTTATACAATGCTTGAAAATTAACCATTTTAGTACAAAAAATCCGAAATCAACCTGTTTAAACACAAAAATTTGGTTTGAGCAAAAATAAAAAAATTTAAAAACACCTCTAAATGTACTTATAAGGTCTATATAATGCTTCCATAAAAGGATTTTTTTGGTCCTTTCAGATGAGGTTGATCAAGAATTTGACAAGATGTGCACAGTAGATTGGGTTGAAAAATATTTTTTTTGAACATTTATCCTG